GTGATATAACTAGTCCCGGCTAATAAACATTTCATCTTGCTTTTTCAAACGCTAGATATTATAATATATGTCAAATGTTTTTTAAAAAATGGGGTTTGCTGAAATGTCTAAATACGTTATCAGCCAATGGTTTTTCTTTTTAAACTTCATTTTTGTCCTCGGACCGGGTAAAAACAAATACTCATCATCAATCCTAAAGCGTTTTGAACTTAAAACCATCTTTCATATAAATATTTATGGATTATCAACCAATCTATGGTAATTAACTTATGTTTTTTTCCTTCTATTAGCTAAAGATCAGAACAAGAAAATTAATCCCTTCCCCGCTGTAAAAACACATCTGTTTGTATACACAGTAGATTTTCTCCTCCCCACAGGTCAAAATATACTTGTTTGTATAAGTATTTGACGGCATTTAATTTGTTTGTATAATGATGTTTGGGCATCCATATCAACATAATATATATATTGGTAACTATATAATTAAATGTGTAATGCAGTCATGCAGTTTATGCCTTTGCATGAAGACAATAGTAATAAGGACGCAACGTTTTAAAAGATTGATCGAGACGTCAGGCCCGAGAGCTCAGTTTGAGACAGTTGTCTACTATAAGATCTTTCCTTGCATTTGTGGCCCAAAATATATAACTCGCTTTTTTTAATGCAAAATTTAATTTTCAAGTAAATTTAGTTGATTAATTACAAATTGCAAAGAAAATTTAGGATTAGATACTAATTAATACCCTACATATTCCCCCAAATAGATAACATTTTTTTTTGGTGGGTGTGGGGGGGGGGGGGGGGGGGAGCAAAACCCCCAAATTGATAACTATAATCTTTTCTATCATTGATACTAAAAAGAATTTTAAAATTGTTTGTTTGTTTGTACAGTCTGTACGTAGCGTGATATTTTACCAGAAAAGACATATGTTCAAAAACTTTTTGATATTTTTCTTGTAATTAGTTTTATGTATATGATTATTCGTGAAAGATCCATGCACTAAGAGTAAAACTTATTCCATTGCATATATCAAAGAATCTGACATGATAAATCCGAGAACTGATTATTTCTATTTTATTCTGACGAACTTATAATATCTTCTTCTTTTTTTTGTTTGAAACTTGAATTTAATATCTCATGCACGTATAAGTGTATGTTCTTATGAATTTTATGTTTGATCTATATTTTTCAGATTTGAAATTTAAGATTTTCTTGATTCACCATTTCCTACAGCAGCTGTAACCCAAGATTTTCTTGATTCACCATAATGCTTTAGTAAATAGCTTTTTATTTCTTATTGAATAGTTTTTTATAGTCTTACATGTTGTGCCATAAATTTTAGAAATTTATTCAACTAGATATTTTTGGATGATTAATACAACTGGTTAAAAACATACTCTCCTATACTGATATACATTTTTCCTAACAATCTACGATAAGATAAAAGTGTAATGGGTAGACTTCTCTTGAAATGAATTAGTGCTTGTATACAACAAATATGAACCAAAATATTTGGGTAGAACTGTAGAAGATACAGTCTATATATATAAACCATAAAACACAATATTCCGTATAATAATGAATCCATAACATAAAAGTTAAATTCTTTATTAATTCATAGAATCATAATACAAACCAATACAACAATACCCCCAATGGTAAGAGTATATATAATAGGAAATAATGAAACTGTAAACTTCAGGAATCTTACGGATCACCCCAATGAACACCAGAGCAAGCAGAGTAGAAGAAACCACAGATCAAGATATATAAAGACACAATATAAGAGTATAGAGAATCACCCTGTCTCTTTAAAACAAGAAGATAAATTAATACACACATAAGTGTATTTAAATTATATATCAATATGGTTTTTAGCATTGGAAGCCAGGAGGAAGTTGTTTGCTGCAAACATTAAGGAGTAGACTTAAAGATATTGGGAGGTTCAAGTTGATTCCAAGAATGTTAGCCTTAAGAGCGGTGCAGAGACAAACGGCTGCCTCAACATCAGCGAGTCCTTGGATGAGGCTGCAGCATGGCTCGACCGGTGGCTTGCCAAGGGTCAAGTCCAGGAGGCCGTTGAGCACATTAGCGCAGACACCGAGCTTGAGGGTGTCTTTAGGGCACTTGCTCGAGCCAGAGCTAGGGCTTGGGGTTGGTTTAGGAGTTGGCTTTGGCTTGGGAGAGGGGCAACCTCCGCCGCACGGAGTACAGCTACCACAGGCGGAGATTGTTGTGAAAAAGAGAAGATTGAGAGCCAAGAAAAGAGCTATGGAGCTTGAAGCCATTTTTGGTATATAGAAAATACTGTTCACTAGCTAGCTAGGTTGTGAGTGAATTGGGTGTGGAGAAAATGAAAGAATTGAGATAGGTTTTATAGTGGTTTCAAGAAAAGCCCAAGAGCGTCCGATCCATAAGATATATGATGGGATTTTTTTATAACAATAAGTATAAATGATTGACTACCATTATCATAATTTTATTGATTACAGTAATATATAATAAAAAAGATTGAATGATTGAAATTAGGGACCTTGAAATTATGTACACGGAAGTTTACACATTGTCCATTTGTTTATATGAAGATACGAAATGTATTATAACTGTGATGTCATATTTGCTTATAGTTTTGGGATAAACTCGTTGTCGTTGTAATCTACGCGAAACAGGATCGATCCTCAACTAGTATAGATGTATGTATGTATTATTATTATTATTATTATTATTATTATTATTATTATTGTTTTGTGCAAATAACTAGCTAGATGCATATGTTCTTTTTTTTGTTACGAGTTACGACTGCTAGCTTTATAATAAGTTTGATTTTCATGTCACAGTTGTATAAGTTATATAGATACAGAAAATTTGCGATTTATAAGTTCTTAATTAGACTTTCTAATTTTTAAAATGAAGTCTTTGGTGAATGTTCTTCAATGAATCGTATGTACACTAATTTTTAATTTCTTTCAAATATTTACACCAAAGAACCTTAAGTCTAATATAAGCACAACCTACGTGTGAGATGATCAACACAGTATAGAGTGACTTTGCCACCAAAAAGGAAAAAGAAAAAAACACAGTGTAGTATTAGACTATAGATAGTGGTACTGCGCGTAACCAAAATCAGGAAAAAATATGATGTAAATTTATACCTTAATACACTCACAATTTCGTAACTATGTATTTAATAATATCATGTCCTTAGAAAAATACGATGTACATTTATACCTTAATACATACAAAAAATGTTGATTAGTCATATAAATTAGCATAGATTTGTTTTTCTTCACCTATATCCTATGATATTGCTACACATTTTCTATATGACCATTTGTATTAGAGTTATTATGGGTTGGACACGTTTTATCATGCATTATTTTAAGGTTCAAATATATATGCACATAAACCACTATTTATTTTCTCAATGTTTTGAATTTATTTTTCTACTCAGTGCATATTGACCACATCCTAAAACTAGCTCTGCCTCCCACATATAAAAGAAACAATTTCCCATAGCTAAATCCAAGAAATATTAATTGAGTTCCTTGGCACTATTTCCTCTTATGATTTTCAGTGAGTTCAGAATTAAATTTAAGTAAAAAAATTACTATAGATTAATAATGTTTTACATATACATAGCGAGACGATAATGCCTTATTACACCTTAAAAACTCGGTCCCAGCTTATAATGTAATTGACAAAAAAATGATAGAATAATATATATGAAAATGTAAACACTCTACCATCTAAAAATGATATGTTTGATTTTATGAGGAAAATGTACATTTTTTTGCTGCTGTTAAAGTCACCTCTAAATATAAATTTACGTACATTCTAAAACGTATAATATTCAGAAAAAATATCAATACAAATATTGACAGATGCGTATATGCGTAATGACTAATAGGCATCTACCAATATTGTTAGACATGGTTAAGTTGATGGTGCATGGAACAAAACAGGCCAGTGATAAAAACAAGTTAAAACTTCAGTCATATCCGCAATCTGCAAAGATATTTTATAATGCATGGTTGCCATAGAAACCATGTGATAGCGAGTGACAATGCTGGTTCTCTTGTGCCCTTCACAAACAAATGTAAAACAAGATAAGATTGATCATGAGAGTACAACGAAGCGCCTCACTGCAGACACATATACCAAAGAAATCTTCATCTACTTACATTCGTCTAGCTGTCACTGAATGATTCGAAATGTGTATATATTAAGATCTTTGTACACAATATAGATGACTTGATATCAAATTTGATCATAAATACGTATTAATTAAAACGTAGTATGCCATCACTATCAAAAGATATGTTGATAAAAGATTATCCTACCATTGATGGTACCGAGTTTTAACCCAATAACCTTTATATGGCATGTAGATGTAGTATTTATTAAAAGAACAAATTGCTACACACTAAAAATGCGAAAATTGAACTATTAAGTTAAGAGTTAAGACTAAGGTAATTTCTTTTTGAATAAGCATATACATGATAATAACAACCAATGGAAAGAAACACGCCAAATGTAAAATAGAATTATACCAAAGAAGCAACTAAAATGTAAAATAGAATTATGGGAACTAGAAAAAAGTAACTTGCAATCAATCAATCAACCATAGATCACCAGCTTACAATGAAATCAATGCAATAAAGTAAGCAAATGATTTGACAGAAAAAAGAAAGAAAGTAAGCAACTGATTTTCCTAAACATGATCATTAATTATGAGATTATATAGAGCTCCTCAATATTTATTACTGTCAAATAAATAAAATCACCTAAAGCTACTAAAATCCCATTGATAATCTTCGTAATAACTCCCTCTGTTCCTTTTTGTTTGATTGTTTATAAAAAAATTTGTTTCTAAAAGATTGATTTTTTAAGTTTTCTATGTAATATTTATTGGTTAGTATTGGTGAATTGTAATTTTCAAGAAAAATAGTTAATTTTTATTGGTTTAGAGTAGGGATGTCAAAATGGGTAACCCAACTCAACTCATAATCAAATGAGTTTAAGGTTAAATGAGTTATGGGTTGACCCAACTCATTTTGTTAAATAGGTTGGGTTTACCTATAACTCATTTAATTTGATGTATTGATTTGTTATATGGGTTAACCCATTTAAATAATAATTTAATTAATTATTATTATAAAAATAATAAATTAATAATGATTCATTATCATCAAACTTAGGATATTTACGGATTCCACTTTTTACGGATTTACGTTTTTGACGAGAAAATCACGGGTTTACGTTTTTGGCGGGAAAATTACGGATTTAAGTTTTTGGCGGGAAAATCTCGGGTTTACGTTTTTGGCGGAAAAATCACGGATTTACGTTTTTGGCGGGAAAATCACGGATTTACGTTTTTGACGGAAAAATCACGGTTTTTCGTTTTTTGGCGGGAAAATTACGAGTTAACGTTTTTGGCGGGAAAATTACGAATTTACGTTTTTGGCGGGAAAATCACGGGTTTATGTTTTTGGCGGGAAAATCACGGGTTTACGTTTTTGGCGGAAAAATCACAAGATTTACATTTTTGGCGGGAAAATCTTGGGTTTACGTTTTTGGCGAGAAAATCTTGGGTTTACGTTTTTTGCAGGAAAATCACGGGTTTACTTTTTTGGCGGGAAAATCACGGGTTTATGTTTTTTGGTGGAAAAATTACGAGTTTACTTTTTCTCAATTTTCATCGATTGTATATTTAAGAAATTTGGAAAAATATTAATTTTATTAAATTGGTTTAGATGTGTTGGTTAAACTTAAATTGACATTGGTTTAGAGATTTTAGTTGGTTTAATTCAATTTTACAAAACTTATTGGGTTAATTGGATAAACCATTAAAACCATTAACCATTACAACCCAACTCATTTTACTCATCAAACCAATTGACTCATCAACTCATTTGACCCATCAACTCATTTGAGTCAAAAATTTTAACTCATTAGGGTTCATGGATTGAGTTGAGTTGAGTTGACCATGAATTTTGACCCATTTTGACACCCCTAGTTTAGAGTTATAGAAAACTGTAAAACACTAAAAATAATACATTTATAATCAACATTTATTATGTTTTCTTAATATGTGTGTTTTTCTAAACAATCAAACAAAAATGAACGGCGGGAGTACTAATTAAGTAATTAGTGAGAAACTGTATTAACCGTTCACTAGTTAAGCTCATAAAACTAATTCTCATTGGCTAGCCTAAGTTTACTATACTATTGGGCATGTAATGCCTTGAATTCTATAATCAGGCGAGTGCAATCATAAGCATTAAAATCAAATACCAATCCATAGACTTCACATGCATGATCTATCCTATACCCAAAATTGGTAACTACTTACCCATAATAATCTTTTTATATATAGAAATTAATTATAACATAACATGCTTGATGTGATGAAGAAGCATAATAAGATTTTAAAAGAACAACTAGGAGCCGAATAAGGCGGAATAGGCCCTGTTAAGTTAAAATTTTAACAATCGAACAATCAAACCCGGAAAAAGATTAAGGATCTTAGTTGAACCAGTTGAGTCATACACACTGATTACGAATCACAAATCAAACTGTAGTATAAAACAATTGCAACTTGGCTTTCCACCCCCACACATGATTTTTGTTATTGTTCATAAGAAAACAAAGTATTTCTTATTATTATTCTTCTTTAAAAACAATTCTTATTATTATTCACTTCACGGGATTACATAAGAATTCTAAATCGCCCATTGGTTCATCTTGTGATCCATTGGATGGCAAATGATATTAAATTATGTTTTATTCGGGTAATGGATCTATAAAATTATCGGTTTATTTTTATATAACAAAAAAGGTAACGAAAAATATTGTTTATCATCAAGCGGTCTTTGCCTAATTAATGACGTTTTACAAAAAAAACTCTGAAGGTTGTAATTCATATGATCCCTAGAAGAAAATTATCAACTTGGTGACATATGCGAGTCTTGTGGTTCACCGGAGAACGGGAGCCCTAACTGGCTTTCACACTTAGCCCCAATGCTAATCATATCCTTACCTCTAGTCACATTAAGCAACCTTTATTAGGGTTTAACTTAGAGATCAATGGAATCCAACAGAATTTTTCCGCAGCTCTCTTCATATCTTTTAATCTCATGTTTTTTGCGCATGTTAGTGGCTGCAACACTTGCTTTCCACCTACCCCAATTCCTAACCTTAACCCTATCAGCAATCCTACAACGCCTAGTTGCTCAAGAGACGCCATAAAACTTGGAGTTTGCGCCAAAATACTAGACGTTGCAGTCGGAACTGTCATTGGAAACCCATCCGACACGCTTTGCTGCTCAGTTCTTCAAGGGCTTGTCGATCTTGATGCTGCCGTATGTCTTTGCACCACCATTAAAGCTAACATTCTCGGGATTAACATCGACCTTCCCATCTCGTTGAGTTTGCTCATCAATACTTGCGGCAAAAAGCTTCCCTCTGATTGCATTTGCGCCTGATAAGTTGTATATGGATGAATCTATCAAGTAGTTTTATTTTTTTCGTATGTTATGCTTCTCTTTGTTTGGTCGGTTCTCGTCTAACTCATCCGCATGTATTCTTGTTTTAGCCATGTCTGACAATCTATTGGTTCCTACTTTTGTTGGGGTAAGTTTTTATCTGTTTCATGCGTTTAGTTGACAAGTCTTAAGGGTATTACCACTAAAAACACATACAATGACAATATAATGATCCGATAACAATTTTTGATGTTTTTCCATGATTTATCTAAAATTTGTTATTGTAGATATTTTAAATAGCAAAGATCATCCAATTATATTAAATTTCGAGGAAAGAAATGGATTTCAAGTCAAATATCTCGGTTTATAAAAAACTAAATTTAGAAAACGTGTATTAGCTAGATTACCAGATAATAATGTAGATTCCAACTTGTAACATATAGTTAAAATATACATCAAATACTCTCATGTACGTAGGGTTGCTGTCTTGCTGATATATGGGGTTAGGGTTAGGAATTAACCCATCAGATCCTGGCGTAAAATATACAAGAATTAAAAGATTTAATCATCTTGGTTCTGACCTAAAAGTATAAAATCATGTTGGTCAAGACCCTTAACTGTTCCGATTTACTTATATTCTTTGCGGTTAATATCTGGTATTTGTAGATTTTATAATTAGTTTGAATTTATAGCTTATTATATCTAATTACACGTTCACCTTTGGACAAATATTTTAGGCCACTTGTGCTGGTCTCTGTGTAGGGTGTTCCACTCCAAGTTCTTTTGAGTGGGGTTAAAAGGATCAGTAGAGACCCTGACAAAAAAATACTGCCAAAGCAGGACCAGACATACTTTTTATATTAACAATCTTTTAAAAAAACTTATATAATGGAGCTTTAAAATTATTGTAATTTGACATTAAAATAGGAAAATGGGAACCCGTGACACGACCAATCTGCGCATGCCACCACCTAAAGAAGTAAAAGAAAATGAAAGTAATTTGTACATATACGTGCATGGCTGGATATTTACCCCTTGTTCTATAAATAAAATTCTTTGAGAAAACATAATTTTTTTTATTTTATTTTTTTGTCAAGGTGAGAAAACATAAATAAGATGTCTTTTAAAAGGCTAAGATGATGTGATTGTCAAAAATACAAAAAAAAAGCTAAGATGATGCTGATTATGATAAACTGATAATGCAAGTTGCAAATTCAACATTTTCAAAATTGTATATTCATAAATCCAAGATCTAGAGAGTATAGTTCGATCGTACTACTACCTTACAAGAACTAACCAAGCAGTGGACCAAAAATTTTGTATCTGAAGGTAAAACTGGTATATCGGCCTATTATGTGCCTGATGGATCATAATTTTAGTGGATCGAACCCCGTTTCAAATGATCAAACAAATATTCAAACTGCAATTACCATAAGAACTAGACAGATTTGGCCCATCAAATATTGAACCCATTAACAAACACTTTAACAACTAATATATTGTGTAGCCCATTAGTAAAGAGCGTTCGGCAAATTATTATCAAATATAAGATGCGAAAACTCGATCGAGATTTTACGTTTTCACATTAAAGATTAAGAAACTGCAATAGAATATCCTAAATATGAATTCCAACATTAATTTTTCTTTAATACTATAAGTAATTATTATCAAGTTCATACATGTTTCATTGACGACATTTATTTTCTTGAGCGTCATTGTGAAGCGGAAAATCTAATAATTCAACGGCATTGAAATATTTATGTAATTGTAGAAACTTATTAATTAATGTTATAACGTTGAAATGTCGATGTAATGAGAGCTTCTAGCTAGTGTCTCTTGGGTAACTCCTCGAAGCGCAAATTGAGAGATGCGAGACGCGAAAACTTGGGTATGAAATTTTGACTCATAACTTGTGATCAATTTCAACGTTATAATATGAATGAGAATAGTTGCCGAATGTTTAGTGTTTGAATAATGCTTATAGTTTGAAAAATGTTTGAATAGTGTTCTTATATTTTTCTCGAGTGAAAATTTATTATTAGTGTAAATCTTCGATCTGGTAAGACTAAAAGGTAAAAACTTATTTTAAACAAACACAGCATTTTTATGTTCTATAAAACAATAAAATTAAAAACGTAAAAGGAATTCACCATGCAGCCACTTGCTTTAGGTTTACAACTTTTATTTTATGTTATAAAGTATTAACATGCATATTGTAATTTTGAAAGCAAAACAATGTAAATGTAACTAAATGTAAACAAAAGATCGAACGAAAGTAATTGTTGGACAGAAAAATATATCTTAGTTTCCAGGAAATGAGTTTAGTTCACTACTTAGATGCCTATCTTGAAAAACCTTAGCAAAACTATAATTGCCATTGTTTTGGGTTCAACAAGTCTACTTGCTGCTTTTACTAGTTAGTTAATACATCTCATTAAAAATACACTTTACCATGGAAAAAATAATACAATCCACCACATGCTTTTGAATTCTATTTTATAATGACCAGAAAAATCCTAGATTTTCTCATTTATCTACACCATAATTATTATTATTTTTACTTCATTTATATAAGTATGCATTCAAGTTTTATACACATATTTAAATGTCAGTATTTTAGTAACACATACAATATCA